AATATGAGTACTTGAATAAACCAAAAGAGCCCAGAGTGAACAAACCTGTGTATAACCTACAATTTTGTTAATATTGGATACTACTTCTAATCCATTGATTTCAAAGCACCTCCTAAGGTTCCAAGAAAGACTTCAAGGTTTATTTCTCTGTTTTCAATAAATAATAGAACTAGATCCATTACAGAATATTAGTGGATATGATGAAGAGTAGAACATTAAACCATCCACTCTAATACATGACTAGCAGAACCTGCAGCTGGAACTTAAGACTAGCCAGGGTGATTTAATAAAGGTCAGGCACAAAGTTCCCCAGTGTTTTTAATCAATTTTACAAAATCAATGTTAATAATGACACTAATGTAACGTATTGACATTAGCTTATTGCCAGATCTCAAGTCCATTCCCAAAGATGATTTCAAAGATGACATAATCTCTTCTCTAGAGGCTAGTTGAGATGGTAATATGAAATATCACAGCCAAAATGTAAAAGATGAGTCTTTGGCTCATAAAATATATCAGACTCATATGACTTGGTGTTCATCCATTGTCACTCCACATACTTAAAAAATACCACATTACTAGAAATAATTCGCAAGTTAACACCTGGTTTTAATTCAGATAAGTAGTATCGTCTCTCTTGGGTATACTTTCTTATGTTCATCTTTCTATCTTTGAAGACTGAAATTGCATGTAACATGTCAGTCCCCAATTTCCATAATGAAGTGGTTGGAGGTCAGAAATAAATCTGACAGGCTTCAGTATCATGTAAAATCTACTGTTATCTAGTCTAATGTTATGTATTGTTAGAGGCCCATTGTTTTACAGATACATAACAGAATTCAGTATCACAAAAGGCAATCAATTTGCTTATTGGTTTTTAAAACAAATTTAGTAAGAATTCTAGCAGAATGATAATATCAGAAAAAGTAAATTTGAGAAAAGTGGAACAAGATCTGAAATTAGCAATAGAACATGTGTGCATGTATTCAAGATAAAGAAAAAATATTAAAATACAGAAGAAGAAAAGTTAGAATGTTTGGTGCCTTGATTGAAGCAATGGTAATGTGAGTGTATACACACGTCAAAATTCATCAAGCTGTATAATAAGATTTGTGCATTTTATTGTATGTACCTCAGCTTAAGAAAAGTGAAATTTAAAAAATCTGGGAAGCACAAAAACAAATAAATTTAAATTTAAAAAAGAAAATAGTAAAATAGAAATAGATATACCCAGTATTTTTTCATATGTCATTGCAAAATTTTTAGATTGGAGATGAACCATCAAAACCATTCAACCAAAAACTCAAGCTAGAGTGATATTTATTCAAATCACCATCTACTCTAAACATCCATGTGTTCTCTTCTCTCTGTAAATCCCAAGGTTTTTAGAAAAGACAAGTGTAACCAGATTATAATGAAAACTCACTCAACAATTCTCCATTTTCTATTTGGTATTTTTTGAAGTTTGAGTTCCAAACACTAAGGTCATTTGCCATTGGGTTGAATTCTTTGATTATTTTCTAATTTTTTAGGACAAATATTAGTCACTTAAAGAAGATATAATTAGAAATAATACCCTTATTTTGGATATATTTATAATCTCAAACCCAAAATTATTTCAACAAGAAACAAGTTAGCTATTTTCATGAATACATCTTGTAAACATACACAAATATACATCATGTAAATATACACAAACTGATGTTGGTGACTTCAAAATACCAATATGGCACAGACACTTTCCTGGTGATTTTAATTTTTTTCACTGAATGATAATAAAGCTTATTCTATAGTTGAAAGACAACTTCTTTCCTATCATTTACACCATTGCATAAAGTGTCATTTTTTATATAACCTATTATACTATTAGCAATGCAACTTACATGAGAAATCATACATGTCAAATATAAATGTCATCTACCTCAATAGATTTTTCTCTTACGAATTCTATGCTTTAAATTACCAAATTTGAAAATATATTTTGTTTTTCTTATTCTTCAGTGGGTATAAAGTTGCTTGTAGCAAGAACACAACTAAATGTGAGTAACAATAAAGAATCAGAACTAAAAAAAATAGATATGAGTAGAAGGCAAGTGCTCATAGATAATAACACACCATGTAGAACTTAAAAGACTAAAGAATTGCTATTACAACTTCAAATTTGATTTTGAGTTTCCCGGTAGCCAAAGTAACAAGGTAGACTAGAAGTAAAACAATTCAAATTTGATTATTTTTCTAAGAAACAATATCGGAAATGTTTAATCCTAGTTTTTCCTAAGGCTGCCTACAGAACTGAACTCTTCTTTCTCTGTGTATTTATGTAGTACGTAAAATGATAATTGTATAACTCAAACATAAGGAACGTTTAGATTTGATGTTTAGAATAAAATGCCATTTTCCACATACCATCAATTTCACTAGACATAAAATTTGAATGGTCTCTAAATTAGCTCTTCGAAAATATTATTTTGGGGATAAAATACCATGAAACTCCTGAAATTCTGTGTGTTGGATGTAGTGTACAGTACTCACAATTTCAGGCACAAGGTGTCGCTCTTTACTTGGTGGAAATAGTTAATTCAAAGGTTGGTCTGAAAGCCAGGCACGCCCCACACCAAAAAAACGACTCCATCATGCCGGAAGCTACTGTTAAAAGGGCCTTTGAAACTTCTAAAAAATCCAGTGAGATTATTATTCCGAAACTGGAGTCTCAGGTACTGTAGGTGTAAAGAATGTTATTTCGGAAGTCAATGTCGTATGCGATGATCTGGTCTCAAAGAAGGGAATTGCGCACTCAGCGTCTGCTGCTCTCGCTTCTGCTCGTCGCAGCCTGGGAGGCAGGGAGCGGCCAGGTCCACTACTCGGTCCCCGAGGAGGCCAAACACGGGACCTTTGTGGGCCGCATCGCCCAGGACCTGGGGCTGGAGCTGGCGGAGCTGGTGCCGCGCCTGTTCCGGGTGGCGTCCAAAGGCCGCGGAGACCTTCTGGAGGTAAATCTGCAGAATGGCATTTTGTTTGTGAATTCTCGCATCGACCGCGAGGAGCTGTGCGGGCGGCGCCTGGAGTGCAGCATCCACCTGGAGGTGGTCGTGGACAGGCCGCTGCAGGTATTCCATGTGGAGGTGGAGGTGAAGGACATTAACGACAACCCGCC